AACATCTCATATTTGCTAATTTATATGTTTATATGTTATGTAGCATGTTTATTATATAATTTTGAAAAAAATCATAGATGAATTAAGCAAAATGTCTATATTAATGTTTTATTGTGTTATTATCACTATTAATATGGCGTCTTCAAGACCAATTACACTCTTAATGAGTGGCTCCGAGACAGACAAGCAGACAGAAAGACAGACACAGGTAGACAGAAAGACAGACACACAGGTAGACAAAGACAGACACACAGGTAGACAAAGACAGACACACAGGTAGACAAAGACAGACACACAGGTAGACAGACAGATAAACAGACAGAGATACAGACAGACACAGATATACAGGCAGACAGATACAGACAGGTTTATGTGCAACAGTGAAAACAAATAGAGAGTTGGAGAGTAAGAGCCTTTCTTGCCACAATCTCCAGTGCAAGATTTAGACTTCATCTTAGGGGCCATGGTGAAATTTACTGTCCAGTTAGTACATTTAATACAGTATGATGCTGCTGATAGGGCAGGGTTGCTCAAACTGATGCTGCCTGCATGACACATTGCCGCCGCGAGTATTGTCAAATATTGTACAGCAGTGTGCATCAGCCGGCCCAGCCCAGCTGCCAGATGCATGGTCGTAAGTCAAGTGGACGTATGTTGAGCAGGTCGTAAGTCGGATGGTAGGTGTATTTTTTTTTTTTCAACAAACCAGCCGTATCCCACCAAGGCGGGGCGGCCCAAAAGGAAAAACAAAAGTTTGTTTAAATTTAGTAATTTATACGGGAGAAGGGGTTACTAGCCCCTTGCTCCCGGCATTTTAGTCGCCTCTTACAACACGCATGGCTTACGGAGGAAGAATTCTGTTACACTTCCCCATGGAGATAAGAGGAAATAAACAAGAACAAGAACTAGAAAGAAAATAGCAGAAAACACAGAGGGGTGTGTGTATATATATGCTTGTACATGTATGTGAAGTGTACACATACATGTGCCACCCCGCCTCAGTGGGATACAGCTGGTATGTTGAAAGAAGAAGATATATATATCCTAGGTAGTAGGTTGGTAGTCAGCAACCACCCAGGGAGGTACTACCGTCCTGCCAAGTGAGTGTAAAACGAAAGCCTGTAATTATTTTACTTCATGGTAGGATTGCTGGTGTCCTTTTTTTCTGTCTCATAAACATGCAAGATTTCAGGTACGTCTTGCTACTTCTACTTACACTTAGGTCACACTACACATACATGTACAATCATATATATATATACACCTACCATCCGACTTACGACCTGCTCGACTTACGACCTGCTCAACTTACGACCACTCGACTTACGACTGTGTTTTTTTTGCCAAATTTTTGGGAAATAAACAACTACAGTGGACCCCCGGTTAACGATATTTTTTCACTCCAGAAGTATGTTCAGGTGCCAGTACTGACCGAATTTGTTCCCATAAGGAATATTGTGAAGTAGATTAGTCCATTTCAGACCCCCAAACATACACGTACAAACGCACTTACATAAATACACTTACATAATTGGTCGCATTTGGAGGTGATCGTTATGCGGGGGTCCACTGTATTTGTGTTATACACAGTGTTTATCCTAAACCTTACAGTATAAAATACAGTACTAACAACATAAAAAGTAAAGTAAAACATGAAATACCAAAATAAAACAATAAAATAAAGTCATTACAAAAATGTTTTGTTGATATTCAGTAGTAAAGTTCGACTTACGACCATTTCGATTTACGACCGGTTTCTCTGAACCGAACTCAGTCGTAAGTCGGATGGTAGGTGTATATACACACACACCCCTCTGGGTTTTCTTTTATTTTCTTACTAGTTCTTGTTTATTTCCTCTTATCTCCATGGGGAAGTGGAACAGAATTCTTCCTCCATAAGCCATGTGTGTTGTAAGAGGCGACTAAAATGCCGGGAGCAAGGGGCTAGTAGCCCCTTCTCCTGTATAAATTAGTAAATTTAAAGAGAGAAACTTAAGTTTTTCTTGTTGGCCCACCCTGCCTCGGTGGGATACGGCTGGTTTGTTGAAAGAAGAATATATAGTATATATACTATATATATATATTTTGTATATAGTACATAAATGAAAAATAACATATATAGTGTTCGCTATCCCATTTTTCAGGCATTATTATGAACACAGGTATAGTATGGCCTGCAACCTGGCCGTAATGGCTTTCAAAGTGGACCAAACAAACTCAGCAATAGTACATGAATTGTATTTCCTTCACCAGATATAATTTGCCAGATATATACAAGTATGTACACTTATATACCACACAGTGACAGATGGCAAAAACAGAAGCCAGAGAGAGTGCACTGTATCAACCATCAACTTAGGCAAGTCTGTCAATTCGCTTATCACAAGTGAACCACGTTGCTTCAGTTTCACAGGTTTGCCTGTGATTGGCCAATGAATCATGGTACAGTGGACCCCCGCATAGCGAACTTAATCCGTGCAAGAGGGCTGGTCGTTATGCGAAATGTTCGCTATGCGAATTAATTTTCCCCATAAGAAATAATGGAAATAAAATTAATCCGTGCAAGACACCCAAAAGTATGAAAAAAAATTTTTTTACCACAAAAAAATGTTAATTTTAGTACACACAAACTGAAAAAGGCATGCACAATTACATGACACTTACTTTTATTGAAGATCTGGTGTGTTTTGATGGGATGGGAGGAGGGGAGAGAGATGTTAGTGTTTAGAAGGGAATCCCCTTCCATTAGGACTTGAGGTAGCAAGTCCTTTTCCCTGGGGTTACTCCCTTCTTTTAATACCACAGGACCAGCTTGAGAGTCACTGGACCTCTGTCGCACAACATATCTGTCCATAGAGCCTGTACCTCTCGTTCCTTTATGACTTTCCAAAAGTGTTTCACAACAGTGTCATTGTAATAGTCACCAGCACGGCTTGCAAAAGCTGTGTGAGGGTATTTTCATAAAAAAAGGTTTGCACTTCAAGCCATTTTGCACACATTTCCTTAATCTTTGAAGTAGGCAATTCCTTCAATTTCTCTCTCCCCTCCTCTGAACCAGTTTCCCCAGGCTGGCCTCTTGCTCTGAAGTTGATCTATCAGCTCATCAGTGGTTAGTTCTTCATTGTCCTCCTCCACCAACTCTTTCCACATCCTCCCCACTAACCTCCAACCCCAAGGACTTCCCCAATTCCACAATTTATTCCTCAACTGGTATACTACTCCCTCAGGGTTACCTCAAACCCTTCAAAATCCCTTTTGTCTACACATTCTGGCCACAGTTTCTTCCAAGCAGAGTTCAAATTCTCTTAGTCACTCCCTCCCAAGCCTTACCTATAAGGTTTACACAACTGAGGATATTAAAGTGATCCTTCCAAAACTCTTTTTGAGTCCAATCCAGTGTCTGTGGGCACTTCAAAAACACTTTTGAAACAGAGCTTTTGTGTACAGTTTTTTGAAGTTGGAAATGACCTGCTGGTCCATGGGCTTCAGGAGAGGATGGTATTAGGAGGCAAAAAATTCACCTTTAAAGAAGCTCATGTCCCCATAAAGTCGCTCTGCCACGTCTGTAGGATGACCAGGGCATTGTCTAACACCAGGAGGCACTTAAGGTCTAATTTCTTTTCAGTTAGGTAATCTTTCACATTGGGGGCAAATGCATGGTGTAACCAGTTATAGAAAAATTCCCTAGTGACCCATGCCTTACTGTTTGCCCTCCACAGCACACACAAATTATCCTTGAGGACATTCTTTTGCCTGAACGCTCTGGGAGTTTCAGAGTGATACACTAATAAGGCTTAACTTTGCAATCACCAGTAGCATTTGGCACACATGAGAAGAGTAAGCCTGTCTTTCATAGGCTTATGTCCTGGGAGTGCCTTTTCCTCCTGAGTAATGTAGGTCCTGCTTGGCATTTTCTTCCAGAACAGGCCTGTTTTCATCACAATTAAACACTTGTTCAGGTTCCAGTCCTTCAGTTTCTATGTACTCCTTGAATTCATGCACATATTTTTCAGCCGCTTTGTGGTCCGAACTGGCAGCCTCACCATGCCGTATCACACATGGATGCCACTACGCTTCTTAAATCTCTCAAACCAACCTTTGCTGGCCTTAAATTCACTCACATCATCACTAGTTGCAGGCATTTTTTTAATTAAATCGTCATGCAACTTCCTAGCCTTTTCACATAATGATCGCTTGAGAGACGCTATCTCCTGCTAGCTGTTTTTCATTTATCCACACCAATAAGAGTCTCTCAACATCTTCCATCACTTGCGATCTTTGTTTCGAAAACCAGTTAAACCTTTGGCAACAACAGCTTCCTTGATTGCCGTTTTCTTGCCCACAATAGAAGCGATGGTTGATTTTGGTTTCTTGTACACCTGACCAGGTCGGTGATACGTACTCCACTTTCATACTTATCAATGATTTCTTTCTTAATTTCAATGGGTATTCTTACCCTTTGAGGTGTAGGGTTGGCACTAGAAGCTTTCTTGGGGCCCATGGTCACTTATTTTCCACAAACAGCACCGAAAACACTGTAATAATACAAATATTCCGAGTGTATGCTTGAATGTTACCGCGGAGGCTAGCTGGTAAACAATGGGACGGCGGCACATGTGAGGCTGGCTGAGGCCCACATTGGACCGTCTCGAACGAAGTTCGCTGAGCGGGTTTTTGTCTACTATGCGGGGCAAAATTTTAGCGGACAAAGCGTTCGCTATGCGGAATGTTCGCTATGCAAGGCGTTCGCTATGCGGGGGTCCACTGTACTGATTTAATTACGGTACCCTATGTATAGTTAACCTTTTAGCACCCAGTTTGCTGGTTGGAAAGCAGCCTCTATGGGAGTGAGATATGCTGAATAAATTGTAATCATACTCATAACATGCCATAGGCATCCATGGTAGTTCTTGGAACATATGCCTCGCTAATATCAAGGGACTACCATATTTATATTGCACATGTATATGTTTAAATAAGTGTAATGTGCATTGTTTCAGGTTGGGACCATGAGCAGACTATAGATTCGTTACTCAGGAAGGGTGGCTATAAGGGCCCGGTGACCAGCGAGGTTCGACGCAGCATAAAACTGACCCGTTACCAGAGTGAAAAAATATCCGTTACATTTCAGGTAAGAGAGTGTGGGTGTTTGGGTGGGTGCGGATGTTTGGACGAGTGGAGGTGTTTGGACGGTGCAGTCAGCTCTTGTGTGGAACTCCTCTCTACTGTCTGTTGAATTTGTAATTGTAATTAAAACACTTCATTCAGAATTGAATAACGCCTGAAAAAGTTAATTTGGAATTTAATAACACCTGAATAACTCCATTCAAAATTGAACTGCAGGAGAAGAGGCCTTCATAGTGCCTGCTGCTCAATTCTGGATTAACTTGTTTAACTGTTCAGCTGTTCATTCATTCAGTATATAAAGGAGCTTCATAAGAGGGCTGACTGCACTCCATAATATTGTCTAGTAGTGACTGCAGTTAATTTAGAGAAGTGCAGGGAATTGAACTGGTGTACCCCATATAATAGCATAACACAGCAGATAATAATGCTAATAATAATACAGTAAGTCCTTGACTTAAACATATTGGGGACCTGAATTGTGTATGATATTCATAATACACCTTGGTAGTTAGTTGTAGACAACAACTTCCCAGGGAGGTGCTACCATCCTGTGGTAGTTAGTTGTAGACAACAACTTCCCAGGGAGGTACTACTGTCCTGTGGTAGTTGTAGACAACAACTTCCCAGGGAGGTGCTACTGTCCTGTGGTAGTTAGTTGTAGACAACAACTTCCCAGAGAGGTACTACTGTCCTGTGGTAGTTGTAGACAATAACTTCCCAGGGAGGTACTACTGTCCTGTGGTAGTAAGTTGTAGAAACAACCTCCCAGGGAGGTACTACTGTCTTATGGTAGTAAGTTGTAGACAGCTACCTCCCAGGGAGGTACTACTGTCCTGTGGTAGTAAGTTGTAGACAACAACCTCCCAGGGAGGTGCTACTGTCCTGTGGTAGTAAGTTGCAGAAACAATCCCCCAGGGAGGTACTACTGTCTTATGGTAGTAAGTTGTAGACAGCTACCTCCCAGGGAGGTACTACTGTCCTGTGGTAGTAAGTTGTAGACAACAACCTCCCAGGGAGGTGCTACCATCCTGTGGTAGTAAGTTGTAGACAACCTCCCAGGGAGGTACTACTGTCCTGTGGTAGTAAGTTGTAGATAACAACCTCCCAGGGAGGTGCTACCATCCTGTGGTAGTAAGTTGTAGACAACCTCCCAGGGAGGTACTACTGTCCTGTGGTAGTAAGTTGTAGACAACAACTTCCCAGGGAGGTGCTATTGTCCTGTGGTAGTTATAGACAACCTCCCAGGGAGGTACTACTGTCCTGTGGTAGTTGTAGACAACAACCTCCCAGGGAGGTACTACTGTCCTGTGGTAGTTAGTTGTAGACAACCTCCCAGAGAGGTGATACCATCCTGTGGTAGTAAGTTGTAGACAACCTCCCAGGGAGGTACTACTGTCTTATGGTAGTAAGTTGTAGACAGCTACCTCCAAGGGAGGTGCAACCATCCTGTGGTAGTAAGTTGTAGACAACCTCCCAGGGAGGTACTACTGTCCTGTGGTAGTTAGTTGTAGACAACCTCCCAGAGAGGTGATACCATCCTGTGGTAGTAAGTTGTAGACAACCTCCCAGGGAGGTACTACTGTCTTATGGTAGTAAGTTGTAGACAGCTACCTCCAAGGGAGGTGCAACCATCCTGTGGTAGAAAGTTGTAGACAACAACTTCCCAATGAGGTGCTATTGTCCTGTGGTAGTAAGTTGGTAGACAACAACCTCCCAGGGAGGTGCTACCATCCTGTGGTAGTAAGTTGTAGACAACAACCTCCCAGGGAGGTACTACTGTCCTGTGGTAGTTAGTTGTAGACAACAACCTCCCAGGGAGGTGCTACCATCCTGTGAGAGTAAGTTGTAGACAACAACTTCCCAGGGAGGTGCTACTGTCCTGTGGTAGTTGTAGACAACAACCTCCCAGGGAGGTACTATTGTCCTGTGGTAGTTAGCTGTAGACAACCTCCCAGGGAGGTGCTACCATCCTGTGGTAGTAAGTTGTAGACAACCTTCCAGGGAGGTAATACTCTCTTATGGTAGTAAATTGTAGACAGCTACCTCCCAGGGAGGTGCAACCATCCTGTGGTAGTAAGTTGTAGAAACAACCTCCCAGGGAGGTACTACTGTCCTGTGGTAGAAAGTTGTAGACAACCTCCCAGGGAGGTACTACTGTCCTGTGGTAGAAAGTTGTAGACAACCTCCCAGGGAGGTGCTACTGTCCTGTGGTAGTAAGTTGTAGACAACCTCCCAGGGAGGTGCTACTGTCCTGTGGTAGTAAGTTGTAGACAGCTACCTCCCAGGGAGGTGCAACCATCCTGTGGTAGTAAGTTGTAGAAACAACCTCCCAGGGAGGTGCTACTGTCCTGTGGTAGTAAGTTGTAGACAACCTCCCAGGGAGGTACTACTGTCCTGTGGTAGAAAGTTGTAGACAACAACTTCCCAGGGAGGTGCTACTGTCCTTTGGTAGTAAGTTGGTAGACAACAACCTCCCAGGGAGGTGCTACCATACTGTGGTAGGAAGTTGTAGACAACCTCCCAGAGAGGTACTACTATCCTGTGGTAGTAAATTGTAGACAACCTCCCAGGGAGTTACTACCATCCTGTGGTAGTAATTTGGTAGACAACAACTTCTCAGGGAGGTGCTACTGTCCTGTGGTAGTTAGTGGTAGACAACAACCTCCCAGGGAGGTGCTACTGTCCTGTGGTAGTTAGTGGTAGACAACAACCTCCCAGGGAGGTGCTACCATCCTGTGGTAGTAAGTTGGTAGACAACCTCCCAGGGAGGTACTACTGTCCTGTGGTAGTAAGTTGGTAGACAACAACCTCCCAGGGAGGTGCTACCATCCTGTAGTAGCAAGTTGGTAGACAACCTCCCAGGGAGGTACTACTGTCCTGTGGTAGTAAGTTGGTAGACAGCAACCTCCCAGGAAGGCACTACTGTCCTGTGGTAGTAAGTAGGTAGACAACAACCTCCCAGGGAGGTACTGTTGTCCTGTGGTAGTAAGTTAGTAGACAACCTCCCAGGGAGGTACTACCATCCTGTGGTAGTGAGTTGGTAGACAACCTCCCAGGGAGGTGCTACCATCCTATGGTAGTAAGTTGGTAGACAACAACTTCTCAGGGAGGTGCTACCATCCTGTGGTAGTAAGTTGGTAGACAACCTCCCAGGGAGGTACTACCATCCTGTGGTAATAAGTTGGTAGACAACCTCCCAGGGAGGTGCTACCATCCTGTGGTAATAAGTTGGTAGACAACCTCCCAGGGAGGTGCTACCATCCTGTGGTACTAAGTTGGTAGACAACCTCTCAGGGAAGTGCTACTGTCCTGCCAAGTGAGTGTAAAATGGAAGCCTGTAATTGTTTTAATTGATGGTAGGATTGCTGCTGTATTTTTTCTGACTCATAAACATGCAAGATTTTGGGTATGTCTTGCTATTTCTACTTACATTTAGGTCACACTACACATGCATGTACAAGCATATATACACACACACCCCTCTGGGTTTTCTTCTCTTTTCTTACTACTACTTGTTCTTATTTCCACTTATCTCCATGGGGAAGTGGAACAGAATTCTTCCTCCATAAGTCATGCGTGTCGTAAGAGGCCACTAAAATTCCGGGAAGAAGGAGCTAGTAATCCATTCCATATACATTACTAAAGTTAAAAAGAGAAACTTTTTTGGGGGGGGGTTGAGGGGGGGACCCTGCCTTGGTGGAGTATGGCCAGTTTGTTGAAAGAAGAAATATATAATAATGATATTATACACAATACGGAAGATTCTCGACATGAATGTAAGTCAAGAACTTACTGTATTATGAATATTATACACAATTCAGGTCCCCAGTGTGTTTGTAAGTCGAGGACTTGCTGTATTATTATTTGCTTGATACACTGTTTATACAATTGGGTGTGCATGCAGAGCATTTTTGGTAACCTTACGCTTAACTTTAGCCTACAGTGGCAATAAGTAATTGCTTGTATTAAAGATTTCTCAAGAATAAATCTAGGAATTACAAGGTGAACAAGCAGTTACTTATGATTGCATTACAAATAATGAGACTTAGAATACATAATTTTTCATGTTTGTGGTTCAGAGAATTATTTTGCATTTTAACACATTTAACACGTACAGTATTTGATTGCTGTTAAGTTATATTAAGGAGTTATTTTTACATTAGCTCTGAAGATGCTGGTAGAGAGGCTGTGGAGTTATGAGGTAGATAGAGGGGCTGTAGAGTTATCAGGTAGATAGAGGGGCTGTAGAGTTATCAGGTAGATAGAGGGGCTGTAGAGTTATCAGGTAGATAGAGGGGCTGTAGGGTTATCAGGTAGATAGAGGGGCTGTAGAGATATTAGGTAGATAGAGGGGCTGTAGAGTTATCAGATAGATAGAAGGGCTCTGGAGTTATCAGGTAGACAGTTTCAGATTTTGGGTTCTTTTATGCTCATTGAGATTTTACAAAAGTTAAGTTCAACACAGGAATATCATAGATTTTTATGTTTAGTATTATATCTATGGGTTCTGTTGCAACCACAGTAGGGCCCCGCTTTACGACATTTTGCTTTATGGTATTCCGCTAATACGGACATTTCAAATTATGACCAAAACTCGCTATACGGCTCCCCCAACCTGACTTTCTAATACGGTAACCGCGCCTCATCTGGTTTGTTTACATTCTCCATGAGCACCACATCTCTCCATTATGTCTGGAAACTTTCCAAAATTTAAAATGTTTTTAAAAGTTATTTCATATTTTATGTGCACTCTTGGTAATTATACAGTGGAACCCTGGATTTCGCCCTTAACTCTTTGACTGTCGCAAACTCATTTCTGAAACTGTCATTCTATGTTGCAAAATTTTTGGAAAAAAAAAAAAAATCTATGAAATGATAGAGAATCTTTTCCTGATGGTAATGACACCAAAAAGTATGAAATTTGATTGAAAACTTATGGAATTATGCTCCTGCGAAGTTAGTAATCTTGGCAATATATATGCATCAGCAATTTTACCGACTTGG